ATCTTAGAAACATTAGAATAATAAAGTCTTTGTTCGAATAGTAACCATATAATCCCAAAAATATCGCACCATGATTTAAGTACATTTGATTGTTTCATAAGTACATCATTATTGTACGCTAAATAGAACAGCACATCGGAATTGGATTTAATTATTGTAAAATTATGTTTAGTTTTCGATAGTAACTCGTGATTGTAACTAATTGTGTTCCAGTTTACACCAAGTATAATCAATAAATCCTTGTCCTAAGAAGCAATCAATTGTTTGTACTAGCAGTAATTTAACCATGTGTATGGAACCACTCGGACTCAGTGGCCCGCCACTACAACAGGAGCTTGAACAATATGGCAATGCAGAGTGTTCCACCATTGAGACTGGGAGCTGAATCTGGATTCGATGCAGAAAACTCGGGATATGTAAGAAGAAACAAGGCATTGAATAATTTCCATACTGGTACCTTTTACAAATCATGTTTATTTAACATCTGTAACATTTTTTTCATCAGACACAAGACAGTTTCACACAAACTGAGGATCAGACAAATGATGAATGCCAAAGTTGAACAAGGCTGCAAAGCCGTAATCGGCAGCTTCGAAACAGCTAATAACCGTGAGGTCGCAAATTAAAAAGTCTCAAAACCAGCTGAAATCTACCAAAAAAGCTTTAAATTCAAAAGAGCTTCAAATTCGAGAAACAGGTATTTCACTTTATTTGTCTACAWTACATAATAATTTTACGTCTGTTATCTGGGGCAGCTTAGCTGGCCGCTGGCCGTTTTATTCATTTATTTCCTTTTTTACTGCCTTATGCATGAAGGAAATTTGTTTTATTTTTTTGAATTTGCATTTATTTTTAGACAACCTCATTTTCGCTATACATTTTTCTAATGGTCTTTCATCAATTTTGCAAGATRCACTTTATTGAATTTCCTGTGCAGCGCGGCGCCTGCATGTCTGGTGGGGCTGTGTCAACCAATCAAAGCGCGAGTGAGCGGCGGTAAAGTTTATAGAGTAGAGGGAGCTGAAGGCCGAGTTTTCGACGAGTTCTCCGTTCGTTAACTTCGCATCTTTTGGTGATTAATATAGCAAGCTTAAAACTTTTATCATATGTAGAATGACCTCATTCGGTTAGAAAACTCGGACAGTAAGTAATAACATTTGAACTTTCTACGATATTTTGACTGTGTTTGTGACAGATACTGATTTGGTTTGCTTGGTTTTAGAATTTCGAGTCCATCGATTCGTTGCATTCATTCCATCAGAAGAACCCAGCTGAACATTGAAGGTAAATTATTACAATAGTTTAAACTCTATTTCGGTTTTCAACAAGACTTTCAAACACAATCAGTATGACATTTGAATTTCCCTATATAAAATTGTCGTTTTGCACTCATAGTGCATTTGCAAGTGATCCCTTTTAAGTGAATTTTCTGCATTGATGACCTTCTTGGCCAGATTGGAGACTCAAAGGTGTTTAGCAGTGGATGCAAACTCTGGATTCTGGCAACAGAAACTGACATCCGAGGCCAAGTTATTGACAACTTTCATAACTCAATTTGGCAGGTACTGCTTCAATCGGATGCCCTTTGGCATCAAGACTGCCCCGGAACATTTTGAGAGGAAAATGCAATGTATACTCGAGGGAGTCAATGGTTCAGTTTCATTGATCGACGACATACTCATCCATGGGAAGACGCAAGAAGAACACGACCTAAGACTCCATGCAACGTTACAGCGCCTTGAAGGAGCAGGCATCACACTCAATGCAGATAAGTGAGAGTTCTCGAAACCTGAAGTAAAGTTTGCAGGTTACATTGTCAATGGGAATGGAATTATGTCTGACCCTGAGAAAGTCAAAGCTATAAAGGAGATGCCAACACCCACCACTGTAAGCGATGTACGCAGATTCCTCGGAATGGTCAACCAACAGGCAAAGTTCATCCCACACCTTGCTGAGAAAACGAAACCAATGAGAGACCTGCTGAACAAGAAAAACCACTTCGCATGGGGAATACAACAGAAAGCGTTTGCTGACCTGAAAGGCGAGTTAAGCAGGACTCCAACTCTGGCCTACTACGACCCAGCAAAAAAAAACAATCATCTCTGCTGATGCCTCATCGTTTGGGCTAGGAGCAGTGCTGATGCAGAAACAACCTGATGGAAGCCTGAAACCAGTAGCATACGCATCACGTGCTATGACAAGCTCCGAGCAAAGGTATGCCCAAATTGAAAAAGAAGCACTTGCCATAACGTGGGCTTGCGAAAAGTTTAGCAATTACGTCATTGGCAAGGATATCGTCATCGAGACAGATCACAAGCCACTTGTACCATTGCTTAGTTCCAAGCCTCTTTATGACATGCCTCCTCGCATCCAACGTTTCAGGATGAGATTGATGCGCTACTCTTACACCATAAGACACACTCCGGGGAAAGATCTCTTCATCGCTGACGCGCTCTCTCGAGCCCCTCTAACTGGTCCTTTAACAAAACAGGACAGACAACTCACAGAAGATCTGAATCTGTACGTATGTTCAGTGATTGAAGGCTTGCCAGCAACCGAAAAGAGACTGCGACAGATACGCTCATATCAGGATGAAGATGAAGTTTGCCAAAGACTGAAGAAATTCAGCCAGGGGAGTGGCCAGACAAGGGCAAAGTTGGCTCCGCACTGAAAGCATATTGGTCTGAAAGGGGAAGCATCACCATCCACCAAGGACTCCTCATGAAAGACAGTAGAATTATCATTCCTTCTGCAATGAGGCTGGAAATCCTTGATGCTATCCATGCTGGCCATCAGGGGATTAGAAAATGTTGTGARAGGGCACAACACTCTGTGTGGTGGCCTGGACTAAGTAAACAAATCGACGATATGGCCACAACAAGTAGTGTTGTGCTGCCAAGAACGCCAAAATCACCCTGAGCCAATGACAGAAACAAAACTACCTGATAGGCCATGGCAGAAAGTTGCAACTGATTTGTTCTACTTCAAAGGAAAACCTTTTGTGCTGGTTGTCGATTACTTCTGAAGGTACTTTGAAATCGCGCCCCTGAAGAAGGAGACGTCAGAGGAAGTTGTAGAGCACCTAAAGTCCATTTTTACCTGCCATGGAATCCCAGAGATTCAAGACTCCCATTATAGAAGCTCAAGCTTCCAAGATCCTACAAAACCATAGAAATATTAGCTATTATTAGCTATTCTTCTGGCATAGAACATTTCTCCAGTATGTCCACTCCCGTTCCATTATATATATGAATACAGATGAATCGTAATTGCCCAACAATCACGTCCAGTTATGGGAATCCGTTGTAGTAGGATTCGTAGTCCGTCCTTTGTATATGCATGTAAAGTAAGGTGAAACTTCTTGAGGCATAAACGTTTTAATTTGCATTTAGACTTTTTGCCGGTTAGGGCTTTCTCAATAACTTGGGCATCGATTGACAATTGGCTATATTTGTATGACTCTATATGCAAATTGAGTTATAATGAGAAAAGGGTCATTGTTCTCGCTTGAAGTACATAAGGTAAAAGCGTGCCAATAATCCAAACAATGAAATAGAGAAGACTTTGCCAATGCAGCCATTCATGACACTGGTCTTTTCTTCTTTTTGGATTTCGATAGCTTCTATTATTTTCTCTCTCTCTCTCTCTCTGGCTTATGATGTTAGCATGTTGTATCTTCCACTGGATGTTTTGGCCTTGCAAAGGATTCACGTTGTGACTTTAGCGATGGTTCTTTCATTCGTGGACCTATTGTTTGTCCTGTTTCACCAATGTAGACTGAATGACAATGGCAGTAAACAGTATGATTTGTTAAGCAATTACACATATTGTTTTTCATTCTTCTTTTCATATACTTTATTTTTTATTATGGAATGTGGCCCATCCTCCCTGCCTACACATATTTGCATTGCAATTGTATTTGCAAAGACTCGACGTTTCATATGGAATTTCTGTGCCACCATTAACACCTCATTCTGGTAGAGACAAATACTTTATAGGAATAGCTCAATAAATATAGGAGAGTGCTGGTTACAATATTTGCTGCTTCACGATTTAAAAACCCACCAAACCCGGCATTAACTAATGTATGTTACAATTTGAATTTGAGTTTTGAAAAGATGATATTACAAAATAATATTCTGGCTCTGTAATCAAGCATGTCACAGGTTACAAAGCTTATTCGTCATTAGTCATTATTTAGCTTTATCCATTTTTAATTTATATTTTATTTAATTTATTTATTTATTTATCATTATCATTATCTGGACAGTGGATCATGGGGGTGTGATAGGCCATTTGCAGCAATTGATCACGTGTCAATTTGCCCCATAGCAACAAGCCCGTGGTGGGCAAGCTAACCACGCATTCCTTGACAACAATAAGACTTTGAGTGGCGAAGCTTGGCGATACCAAGACTATACTGACTGTTTTTAACCTTTGTTCTGTCTGGTTTGACCCGATATTCCGTATAAAGTTGAAAGAAGTGTTTTTTTATCGTTGGCGATAATTTTTATCATAAAGATTGGCCGCAAAAGAGAGTTTTTTGTCTTTATTCTGGTCGCCGTGGGCAGAAGACGCGTGTGCAAATGGCGGAATTCTCAGGTATGTTTATGACTCATTCAAACCCCGATTTAACATC